ACCACACACACCTACACTGTACCACACACACCTACACTGTACCACACACACCTACAGCTCCTAAATCATAATCAGGCTACAGCCGTTGTGTATTTTATTATGTGAAGCACTAAATGGTCTTAGAAAAATATCGACTCTTTGTTTGTAGATATCTACTAAACTACAGCATACAAATACAGAAAGTAATGTAGAGCTCTTATACTGAGTGATATATATTTTACACACTGCTCTGCTTTCTGCACGGACCTCACAGCTGTTCTCACAGCTGTTCTCACTGTAAACATCGCGTTGCGATGAAAGCAGTTACTAAAATAATATCCAAGGGATGCATGCAGAGCTGTCATTGGCTGAGATAAGTCCGGCCGTGCGTCACGCCTCCACCGTTCCCGTAAATGCATCCGCGGAGGAGCCGTGGAGGACCCATCAGTGTCTCATCGGTTATAGCTCCTCCAGAGAGCCTCCTCAATGCTCGGTCCTCGAAGTGCATTTAGAGAAATTAGATGTCCTTCAAAATGGCGCGCTGAAATTCATTTCCGGGTCACTACCGGAGGACCGAGGAGTCGAGGAGGGGAAATTTGAGTATTGAGAAACCTCTTATGAGAACAACACTTACGGCGGAGAAATCGAAAAGTAAACGTGAGATGTCTGTCAGCGCCTCAATAATGCCGTGACTGACATTTTCATCTGAAGCGGGAGGTCAAACGGTAGGTAACCACTTCATTTTTACAAACACATTATTTTTACAAGTATCTTTATTTTGATGAAGTCAACGGTGGGTCTGACTACGTGGGACTGAACGTTACACAGGCTGCTGGTGAGCAGTGTGGCAGGTTGGGTTAACAACAAACAACCGTGACTAATAGCAGTGTTAGTTAAATCATCACGTATTTGCGTGTGTGAGCAAATGGATACTTACTATGAGCTAAGGGAATTTACAGTACTGTACCTGTGCTGTTTGCATTCTGTCTAATACAATATTCAATCAATCAAACAGTAACATGTAGCTATCTTTTGAGACTGGATCATTCATTCCTTAACTGTATACTTCGATTTCTGTATGATATTTGTCCGTTAGTTTGAAAGTCTGAAAGATGTCAGGTAGACTCTTGGCTCTTGTCAGATTTTCTTAACATTTTCTTAATAGATTGTAAAGTTTAATGACCACATCTGAAAAACAACCCGTTTCAGCTACATTACCACATTGTGTTATTTTTAGGTTTCCTAAACTTCTCCCATACAACGGACCTGACGAGCGTGACAAACTGAGTGAGGAGTTTCTGGACTACCAGTCCATGGACATTGCCATGCCCGAAGACCCAGCCACGTTCGACATTGAGAGCTTTTGGGGGAACATGGCATCAATGAAGAATAAGGTAAGAATTATTCTGCACCCTTTGAAATACCCATTGACGTAATCAACTTAATTCTATACAAAAATACTTGAGAGTAATTAGGCTTCCTATGTACATTTTTCAAAGGTGACCAGTATGAGCAGATTAGGGAGGCTCTCTCGTATTGCCAAGTTGGTGTTGGTACTTCCACATTCTAAACTGAGTCTGCACAGTGGAAAGGAGAGACTGTGCTCGTGAAATCTGGTCAACGGAATTTAACACCTCTGA